ACTGGCCCTGAGGGTGCGGATTATCAGTCCTGTGTTTATTATCACATATGACGAAGGGGAGGCACAGACAGGCTGGTAGCTCAGTCGACATCACGGAGCTGGTATCTATGGAACCAACATATGAGCCTCTCAGAAGACTAGCATACCGTCATGTTTACCCATAATGGTCTCACCCTGGAGTTGTTTCACGGCCACCAATATTCCATGCTGCTCTTATCCCAAACCAGCACGGGCTTCTGGTTGGGGGGGGCGGGGGGGGGGCCGGTATGGACGTTCTGGTCGCCGCACACAAGGATGGCAGGCACTGAGCCTGAGCCTCTGAGCCCACCCTGCCCCACCTGGGCAACCTCGCCAACTCACCACGGACAGCCAGAGCACAGTCTGTGCTCCAATCGTGGACGCTGCACCAGGGGTAATGTCAGGACACACCAAGGGGCAGACCATCCCTTTGTGCCGGATTTCAGAGTCCTGCCACCAGAACACCACTCATCCCGTCATGGGACTCAATCCCTTCCCAGCATCAGGACAACCCTGACCCGTGGTCTGTCCTTGGGATAGACAGTCAGATGGGGTGAAAGCCCATTTGATGAGTGAATTTTAGACAACAGCAATAAAAACTGGCAGCACTTAGCTCTTTGAGGTACTTATCTTGCTTTCCTGACTTTCAAAGTTTCCAGAGAATCTACTTCTCTCTAGCCTTGCCTTTCGCCATCACTGACCAGGGAAATGTACAGTTCGATCCTGAGCTACAGATTAGGATTCTGATTAAATGCCGTGAGCAATGCTGGCTGACAAGAACACCATTATTCCAACCCACATTTAGTCAAAAATGGCGGCACCTCCATCCGAGAGAGCTGTGCACTCGGTCCTCAGGGATATCTCCCATGTGGTGTGTATCTGCTTGTGCTCCCATCCCCCTTGACAGGCTCTAACCAGCGGCCTGGCCACGGAGTCTGAGCTGTTAAAGTTTGGCGGTCTCCCTAGACTTGGACGGGACACCCAGAGGAGCACATGCACTGAGGCACCAGCGGCTGCAGATCGGCACAGCAGGGGTGGGCCGCAGGACAGAGGCTGACTGGATTACCAGGGAAGGAAGTAAACACCACAGTGGGGTGTGGACCCCAGACTCTAACACGCACACGCAACTCCAGCCGCAGTCACAGCGACACCGAACAAGACTCAGAGAGGTGCCCGGCCACACTGGCTGCCTCGTCTGTCTGAGCCGGGTCCCTACCCGCAGGCCCATATGGGACCACAATACACACGAGGACCCCAAAGCAAAACCCCTCAATATCAGGGAGGTGGGCTCTGTGTTTTCAGTTTTGCTTGGTTCTGGACCAGTAACTGACCCAGCTTGTTTCCCAAGGCAGCAGGGAGATAATCCCTTCGAATGCAGGAATCCTGTGTCATGCAGTAGACTGATGGCACAACATCTCACCGAAGTTAGCTGAGTAGAAATACCAGCTGGCGGGGCCTGCTCACCCGGGTCATGTTTCAGTTTTTGTCTCATTGGTTGAAAAGTCTCTCTGGGAAAACCCTTGAATGAACCTTCCTCCAAAAGTACAGTTTGGATCAGGTGGCATCTCAGAGGAGGGTGCTGCACAGAAGGGGTGTGACGGGAGGGTGTCAGGCCCAAGCCCCTCAGGCGCAGGCTCCCCCAGGAACGCGCAAACGTCAGCACCACAATCTAACGATATGCAGTGATCCAGCTTACCTCCTTGCTGCCTGTGGGCACTGGTGAGGAGGGGTCTGTGGGGTTGGGCCGTGGGTCAGCCCCGTTCTGAAAGAGGGGAAGGGCAGGAGGGGTGGGGCTGCACGGCAGGACAGCAGGCAGAGGGGCGGGGGCGGGGCAGCACCCCAGTAAGGAAGGAGCCCTGATAAACAGGACAAATTCTCTTCCCTCTCTGCAAGTTCCAGGGCTCACGCCAGCCTGACCACACAACAGCGGTGGGTATGGGAGTTGTGTGTGTGGGTACATGTGTCCATGTGAACTCACTGGGTGTCTGGACGCCACAAAGCCTAGCACCTGAGCTCCATGTCTTCCTCATCGGCAACCCAAGGTGTGGTCCTTCACCGTCCTGCTCTGCCTTCCACCCTGGCTTCAGGACGGCGTCCCCGCACTCCTGCTAGCCGGCACCCCTCAGCCCCAAGCCCAGTCTGGGCCTTGAAACCCGCTGTGATTCCTGGTCTCCGCCTTCACTAGAGTAGCCTCAACCTCAAACACATGAAGGTTCCAGAGTCTTTCAAAACAGACCTTCTCTGCATTTATAAGCGCTTGATTGTAGACTCGAAGTGTCTCTGGGCCACATGATAATACCCTCAACACAGAAGCGCTACAAACATCTCTATCTTGCACCGCATCAAACCTCCACAGCCTCTGGGCTCATCCTCCTGCATGGCAGCAGGTTCCCACTGTGGCAGGACCTCCACCCCAGGGGTGAGCATTCTCTCCGTGCAAAGAACACCGTGAGCAATGCAGACGACAGACAGCACAGCTCGAGAACAAGGCTACTCACTTGGGGTCACCAACTTGCAGTGCAGCCGCTGTACTGAGCTGCTGCCCTGCACCAAAGTTCAATGCCAGGCACTGCAAAGAAGGGATCAGTGGTTCCTAACAGGCCCAGGGCAGCTGCTCAAGAATGCCACGGGCCAGCTCCAGGGTAGCGATGCACAGTCCTCTGTCATGGTGCTGGGAGGGTTAGAGGGCTCCCGCAGGGGTCTGTCTGGAGACAGGAGGAGGGCATGCCCCGACACCGAGACCAGAACTTCCACTTCACTGGAGGGACAGGTTGACACCGGAAATGAGACTGGAAAGCTTGGCCAGAGATCCACCCCTGAGGCCCAGAGCTTAGATTCTTAAGAGAAACTTGGAAGATTCTAAATAGGCGAGTAGGGTCATCTGGTCTGAGCTTCTGGAAGGTCAGTCTGGGCATGTGGATGGGATGGAGTGAGGCAGAGGTCAGGAAGCCCCTGGCCAGCAGAGCTAAGTAAGAATAAGGACACTGAGCCAGGGAGGGGACAGTCTGACAAGGTCACAGCAGGTCCCACATGGCACACAGACACAGGAACCCACGATGGCACGAGGGCTCAGACCCAGAGGGAAGGGCAGCAGCAGGGTGGTGGCCAGGAGCACAGAGGATGGGCAGGCCTAGGGGAAGTGTGCCCTGCGGGGCACTTGTAGCTCGGAAACCTGCCAGAACAGGGGCTTTGTGTCAAGGCCCTGGGGCCACTGTGGGGTTGTGTCCTCAGTGACATGTGTACACAGTAACACTGACATCTCAGCATTTCTGTGAATTCAAAGAAGTAAATACGCATGCGGTGGTGTTAGGATGTAGAGGAGATGACACTGGAGACAGGTCACCAGGTACAGGGGTGGCACCCCAAGAGGAATGGGTCCTGGAAGCAGTGAGGTAGGGGCAGGGGGCCAAGGGGGACCGAGGGGGCCCGGGCTTCCATGGGGCCCCGTGCTGCCCATATGTCAAAGACAATGCACACTGGCAACAACCCTGAGCTGGCTGGGCCAAAGCTCTCTGGACACTCTGAGCATTTCTGCACTCAGGAGGGCAGCTTTCATGCAAAGAGGGCAGGAGCACAGTGTCCTCTAGGACTCGTGACCTGGCAGCACCCCTGCTTGGCCCACACCCAGAGAGACTGAACACAGGGTCTGGGAGCGATCCCCGCATGCCCAGGTTCACCGCAGCCCTGCTGATGGAGGTGGGGGCAACCCAGTATCCACACATGGCGGGTGGGTACAGAACACGCACAGTTCATGTACACGAAGACAGAACGTTATTCAGCCTTCCACGGAGGAAACTATGGCACCTGCAACAATGTGGACAGGCCACGAGGACACGGTGCTGTGTGAAATCAGCCAGAACCAGAGGGACACGTAGTGTAGGATTCCACTCACATGAGGTCCCCAGAGGAGGCAAATTCAAGGTGGCAGAGAGCAGACTGTGGGTGCCGAGGCAGGGGCAAGTCTGGGGATGGACGGCTGTGCTCACGGATGCACAGCAGCGTGAACATGCTTTGTGACCTTGGACTCTGCACTTGAGAATGGCTAAGATGGCAAATCGTATGTATATTTTACAATAACTGAAAATTGTTTTCATGTTTTGTGATTTTTTTTTTTTAAAGAGAGAGAGAGAGAGAGAGATGCTGTGTGGCAAGGCATTCTGGGGCCGGGGCTGTGTGTGCCGGTGGGTAGGAAAGGCCCAGCAGAGAGAGGGGATGAAAGCGCACCTCCACATGGGCAAGTGAGAGGAGCCCTGAACCTGTACGCAGGGGTCTTTGGTTGAGGTTAGAGGGTGGGATGGGATGGGATGGATGAAACAAAATGGAAAATCCTGGAGGGAAATATCTTCAGCATGACTCCAACGACCAAAACCCCAGTGAGTTCTTAAATAAATGCCTTGAAAAGCATGGCGTTCAGTGCTGAATCAACACTGTAGTCGGGGCATATACTGGCACAAGAGAAGCGGTGTGTTGTTTAAAGGACAGAGCATATCCGTGTCCTGGTGTACCTGTCATTCTTTGCCACGGACAGCAATGCAGGAAATATGGACAGAATTCCAGTCACGATCCAGCAGGACCAAGAACTTATCAATCAGAACAGTGTAGACGTGACCTACCCTCAGCTGCAGAGTGTGTTTCCTGTGGAGAACACAGCACCCCACGTTGCTAATGGCTATGCTCTGGATGAGTGAGAGCTGACCCCGCACCCCCTCCTCCAGGAAGGACATTTACATGAAGCAGAAACACACACACACACACACACACATCTGCGAAGCCTTTCCACCCAATGTCAACCCTGCACGGCCAACCCCGTGCCGTCGGAGGGACTTCCCGCGGCTGTGTGAGAACTGTCCCCTCGAAAGGCCTCCAAGGAGACAGAAGGGCCACCACCACGCCATCTGAGGTTTTTTCTCCAGCCCCGGGTTCCTTGGCTTCCTCTATGTGACCTGAAGCAGGGAAGTGAGGGCGCGTGCGCTTTCACTCACCAATCTGTGCCTGAGCTGGACCGTCACCAGAGGAGCTCCTGACAGGTTCTGGGAGAGCACGGGCGGCGGGGACACCTTCAGAGAAATCAGGTAGCTGACTGCAGACAGTGTGTGGCTTTTGTAATTTGCTGCCTCTGCAATCCTTGGAAATGGAAGAAACACCATTACAAAAGGGGAAGTGGGGAGGGGCACGCAGCCAGAACCAGGACTTGGAACTTAATGTTAAGGCTGAGATTTTTGAGACTGAAATCCTCCTTGGATGGAACTTTGTCTTGTGGGGTACACGCTGCTCTCTAAGGTTGGATGCTGGCACCCACAGGGGGATCTACCCCTGGTGCTGCCTGGACTCCATCATTGGGCTGCATGCCAGCTTCCCAGGCAACCTGGGGCCCTTGACCTCACCGAGTCGATAATTTAGCAGAAGAAGTCATGGCTCAGGGAGTTTGAAGAACAGAAGGATCAAGGCACCACGTGTGACTCTTAGCAATCTCACCTGCTCAGCCGCGTGTGTGACCTTGGGTAAGGGACTCACCCCGTCTGAACTTTAACCTCCTGTTTATAAAATGCTGTGATAAATGGTAGTGTGGTGAGCACCTGCTGTTCTGCCACCCAGTGTGCATTCACTCTCCTGAGAAAGGCCCACACTCTCCTCCACGTGACTGCCCCCTGCCTCACTTCTGGCTGGGGAGTAAGCCCTGCTGTCCAGGTCTGGACCTGGAGCGCACGGCCTCCCTCGGGCCATGGTGATTGTCCAGAGGTGAGTATGTGATCTGGGAAGGTCCAAGGAGATGCAAAAGGACTCAGATAGAAAATGCTGGGTCAGGGACCCTCATATCTCTCTGCTACGTGTCTGCCCTGCAGGAGGAGGCCCTGGCAGGGGCTTACAGCCATGAGTGGAGAGATGAACTGGGAAAGGAGCCCATCCCAAGGAAGAAGAGAGACAGCTGAGTGACAGCAGCTGGGCGCTGGATCAAGCCGCCCCTGAAGCCACTGTGCCTGTATACCCTGCAGCTTACATGATCCAAGTGCCCTCTCATGAAGACACTTTAAGCCACGTTTTCGACATGTACAACCCAATCAAAGGAATCCTGCCTGATATACACGGTCCTTGCCTCACACAGTTACAAGGTCAAAGTGATACTCAGGGCCAAGATGGGGTACAGGATTCAAGGAAGCGCCCAAGCTCAGGGCCTGGCACATGTGTGCAGTGCTTGTATGACTCCATGGATGAGCACCTGTCTGAAGTCGTGCCCTGCTCGCTGCCCCGCAGTCAGTATTCAGCAAACGTCTGTTGGCATGAATTTCGACTTGGGAAAACTGCTCTCGGATGCCTGAAATGTGGAGTCACTGGGCCCACACAGGCCGCCTGGCCCTCTGCTGCTGTCTTGTCTCATCAGGACCTCACTTGTCTCCCACTTGCTCCCCAAAGCCTGGCGCAGGATTCTCCCTCTGCCTGTGCTTGCGTCCATAGAGCCACCTTCATAACACCTAACCCGGTCTCTGGGGGCTGGGTATACGAGCCTCCTTCTCCCTTGACTAGTTTTACCTAATAACTAAACTCAAGCCCCTCGCCTTCTCAAACCTACAGAAAATTTGCTAGAAAGAGGACAGTGGACACTCACTCTTCACCTAGATCCCTATCCCCTACCAATCCGTCACATTTGCTGCGACTGGCAGGCTCACACACACACACTCCTGCTGAGCCCCGAGGAAGCACTCATGGCACCTCTCCCCCGAGTACTTCAGCAAGTACCTTTTAACTCTAGAGACAGCCCCCACCATACCACAGCACCATCAGACACTGCTTCAGTATTGTGATGCCATGTCCAATCCCCACCTGTTGCCTCCGAGCTCTGCTGGTCCCGATGAGGCCCATGCATCTGCTAAGGAGATCATCCTTGCAGGCCCACAGCTCTTTCTCCATCATGCCATGGGCATTCAGCAGTGCCAGCCACACTTTGCAAAATGGCCCTTTACATTTGCTGGTTCCTCATGAGGAGCTTCAGACCAAGTGCTGGGGTAGGATTATTCCACGGGCCTCATTAACTCCCTCCCACCACATCACATCAGGGGACATAAGACATCACGTCCCATTGTTGATGTCGAGAGTGGCCAGCTGGCTGAAGGGAATGAACGCCCAATGAATGAAAGGATTTAATGTCCTCTCAGTCCTCCTTTGGGGTGACCTTTGCCTGATAGGTAACTACATGTAGGGCTGCAAGATGGTGTCCTTCTGATCCTGCCATTCCTTCTGTACCGATTGGCTGGCATTACTCTACAGAGACGATCAAGTGCAGGGAAGGAAGCCAAGCCAAAACCTGTGCGAACTTACTCGTCTGAAGCACATGTGAGTCTGCCAATAAGACACTGAGACCTGGAGCATCTCTAGACTCCCTCCCCAGCTTGGATTCCCAGTTGCTTGCCTGGCACAGCATGACCATCAGTAAGAGCTGAGCAGTCCTCATCATGACGGGGCAGGTGAGAGCTTCCGTGTGCAGGTGGTATAGCAGGGACTGGCTAAGTGCCCCCTAGGACCCGAGGACACTCAGACGCTGCCCCTGGCAGTGATTGCTTGGGCCCCTGGCGTGGCCCACCCAAGGCTTGGCTGTAAAGATGGAGACCCCATCCCTGACCCCCATCTTCATGCACTAAACTCATGCACTGACTCCACCCCACCCCAAAGGGGGACTGAGAGGACATTAAATCCCACTGCACCTTTCATTCTTACAAAAACCACAAATGCATGAAGGTTACAGCGCATGAAAGGGAAGGGACTCAGCTGTGTAGGTGAGCAGGAACACCAGCATGCTATCTGCTGATTCTACTCATCTACTCATCTACTCCTAACTGTGCATGAATTTGACAATTATCTTACAGTCAATATGGCAAGAATGCCCAATCATCTTATGAGGTGATAATAGCACCAAGCTTTGTTTAAACAGTTAACTCACTTAGTGCTCATGACAGCCTCACACTTCAGTACCATCATCATCGCTAATCCAGAGGGGAGCACACTGCCAAACACAGCCAGGCACTGCCCAGGTTCACACCACTGATAAGGGCCCCGCTGGGAGAAGAAGGCCAGGTGCCCAGCACCCAATTCTGTGCTGCTAATTACAACACTGTTGGTCAATTCTGTCCCAGTCCCAGTCCAAATGCCACAGGAGAGAACACAACACATAATAGGGACTGTGCTTGATGAGCTATTTGGATGATTTTTTTTCAAGGTTAATTTTGATAATAAGACACCTTTGCATTAAGTGTTGACCTTAGAACTTCACCCTAGCTGATGATTTCACACATGAAAAATACATTCTCATCATTGTAAAATATTTCTGTTTTGACTTTGGGAAACCAACTGAGCATGTCAAGGGGTGTTCATGCTAGGTAGAGGGCTGTGAGGGGGGGCCATATGCCTGTGAGAGTCTGAGTCTCAGAGCCCATGACTTGCAGGGACAAGAGGAGCAGACCACGGTGACCCAGGTCATGGCAGCACAGATTCTGAGCCTCCTGAGTGAGAGCCTTCCCTGTGGGCACCTGAGGCAATGAGGACAGCAGGGAGGTGAGGCTAAAAGGCCCTGAGATGGAGGGATGTCCTATTTGCCAAGCTTCAAGCACATCCCTGGACTCCCCAAAGCAGGATACATCAGCAGGCTCACCATGATGAGCCTCTTCCCCCATCCATTCCAGCTAGTGCTGACACAACAGGGCATCTAGCAGGAGGATGTGCAAATGCAGGCCTGGGTGGCTGCCTGGTGGTCTCATAAATAAAGCTTTATTGGCACACAGCCCCTTCCATTCCTTTATGTATCATCTGAGGTTGCTTTCACATTCCCAGGGCAGAATGAATAGTTTTGACACAGACATTATGGCCCATAAAAATGAGAATATTTACTATCTGGCCCTTTGTGGGAAAGCCTGTCTAGCTTGTGATGATGATGGCATTTCCCTTCGACAATTCTCCAAAAGAATTCTGGAACTCACACAGTTAGTGACAGGTTCCTTTTCTTTGGTTATAAGGACACCTGTCCAAGTGCAGGCTCTCCTGGGGCAACTGACCCTGTCCGCAGCAACATCGTGGCTATCATCTTCCCGCCGTCTCCCCAGAGGCTGTGACCATCTGGGCGATGGGGCATGGGCTGCCCTAGGGACATGCTGTCGGGCTCAACTATCTGCACACTACAAGCCACTTGTAACCCATCCTTTATCTGGAGGCAGCTCAGAGGGCTGCTGCTTCCATCGCCCCAGCAGATGGCAGCACCCAGAGCCCACCGCGCAGGGCAAGAGGGGCACCTGCACCCAGCAGCCTTCACGGGTTCAGGCATTAGGGCATTAGAAGAGGGGCCCTGCCCAGCCAGGGAAGGGGGATCCCATGACAGGGGCAGAGGGGAGCCCTTCCCCTCCGAGGACCAGCCTCTCCCCGTGGTCTGGGTGAGCTGACCCAGCGTGAGGCCACAAGGGCCAGGAGCTGACCCGGCCAGTGAGAGACCAAGGTGATAGGGCCACCACGATGAGTGAGGCCAGATGGGCACATGACCCAAACGGGCCAATCACAGCCCCCCCCACCAGTGTCCACAGAGCCACGTGAGCAGACCTAGCCAATGATAGAGCAGGGTGCTCTGGCCACCGTGATTTGGGGAGCCAGGATGGGCACAGGATCCAAGTGGGACAATCACAGCTCTCCCTGAGTTTCCACGCCCATGTTCGGGCACGAGGCTGTTGTCCTTTTGGAACCTGAGGCACCCAAACGGCCGGGTCCTGAGCCCCCAGAGCCGCCAGGCCTCCGCAGAGAGCCCTGCTCGGAAAGGGGCCAGCACTGAGGAGCGCATGGGCAGGGGGTGCAGCGAGCAGGTCAGAAACACTTCTCCCACCCCCGTCCCAGTCCGGGGTTCAGCCATGGCCTGCAGCCCTCCCGGCCCCCTACCCTCGGCCGAAGCACACGGTGGGCAGCAGCGCTCACCGCTGAAGGCACAGGTCCTTGGCTGCCGACGCGGTCCCCAGGCCACTGCCTGTCAGCCCGCTGAACCTCCTCCCCGCCGTGACCCACTGTGACCCCGCTGTGTGACCCCGAGACACTCACGTGGTCTTGGCGGGCAGGATGTTGTCCAGGTAATCATGCATCCTATGGTAGAGAAGGCCCACGATGGTGACCCAGGCTAGGGAAGAAAAGGGGCCGAACACCTGTCAGCCTCCAGTGAACTGCCCCAGCCAAGCCCACTGGCCCCACCCCTCATACTCCAACCAGGGGGCTCCTGGGGGCAGTGAGGGCTTCTCTGTGAGCCTGAGCAGCTCTGTGACCCGGCAGCTCTGGACGCAGCCGTGGCAATGACCACCCACACCTCCCCTGAACTGACTCCAGACACGCAGATGCTGCGGCTCCTGGGAGAGCCTGCCTCGCCAGGAATGCTACAGGTTCTCAAGGCAAGAGGCCCCGCAATCTGCCACACAGCGCCAGTGTCCAGCCTTGTCCTCTGGGTGAGCATGTCCCCTCTGCTGTTGTCATGTGAGCATCTGCAGCCCTGTAAACACCTGAGCGAGGCAGCGGGTGCGGGATTTACAAGTGGTGGTGACCACACAGGTGTCCTTCCTGCCTTTCCACTATATCCCACCTCTGCTATCTGATGGCTTTGAGACAGGAATCATGTTCTGTGCTGTGTCCCGCACTAGCTTAGCAGAGGACGCTTGGGGAAGGAGGGGGTGAACAGGCTTCTGGAGTTCGGCGGGGATATTCGTGAACACGTTAGAACTTCAGGAATGTACTTAGCATCATATCACTCTCACAGTGTGCCAGGTAGTTGGGCTTTGCTCATTCAATTCCCGAAACGATATCATGAGTCCAGTACTAACATTATCCCTGTTTTATAGATGAGGAGACTGTAACACAGGCAGGTTCAGTAACAACCAGCAACTGGCTGAATCAAGAATTCCAGCCGCCAGTTGGTCCTTGTGACCAATAAGTTCTGCTGCCACAGAGACAGCACATGAGGCTGCCACCCTGCTAAGTGTGAAAAACCATGGATTTCTAGATCATGCAGCCGAGCTGAGTGGTATGAGGTGCCCAAAGATCATGTGTGCAGCTGGCAGACTTTAGCATCTTCTCCAGACACCCCCCGTTCTGGGGTTCCCCCCATGTGTCAGGAGTGTCATTTGACATCTCCAGGCACCTTTCACACAGGTGACAACTCCTTGCTGGGGAGGAGAAACTGTGATCCTACACCACCCAGGCTGCCCTTGGTACCCAGTCTCTAAGGCAGAACTCTGGGAATCACACATCATCTGGCCAGATTGTCAGGAGCTGAGAATCCAAGACTCCCCTCAGGCTGCCTGAGGGACAAGACCGTGGACGCATTCACTTTTCAAGGGACCAGAGGGGACTGTCACCACAGCAGAAATGGCCACGGCTGCCTGAGCCCCCTGAGATGTAAGTAGAACCTGGACCCCTGGACAGACAAACCCCTCACCTAGCCTGAGGCCACCCTGCACGGTGGGTAAGGTGGCCACATCTCTTCACATTTTGCTGACGCATCACTGTGCAAATCTGGGAGGACACAGGTGTCCTTCACAGTGAACCAGAATCACCCAGAGAGCCTGTCCAAATGCACATTCCCAGCCTTCCCAGTTCCAGTTCACCAGGCTGGGGTACACTTGGAATCAGCATTTTGAGTGAGATCTCAGGCGCTTCCCAGGACACCCTGAGAAATGTTGGCCCAGAGCCACTCCTGCAGGAACAGGCAAGCAGGCTCCAGGGTGGTCCTCCACCAGATAACAGCTGACAGCATATCTACAAGGGCCACACCTGAAACAGCTGAGTCCCAGGGGTCCTGGGGTAGCTCAGCAGCAGCACTCACCTTGGCTGCGGAAAGCGTCATGGGGAACCTTGATGTAGCTCTGCCCCTGGGCTGGGAAGCGGTAGTGGGAGGAATTTATGGTCTCGGGTAGGAGTTTGGCCACAGAAAACTCTGAGAACAAGCCAAAGACAAGAAGCCAGTCAGTAAGCTCCACAGCGCAGGAAATTAGGCTGTAAAACCCCATCTGCTTCTGCTTTTGTTAACAGAACAAGCTCCCCTGGGCAGTGTAATTACCTCTAGACAATGACAACCTAAGAAAAAATAAGAGTCCAGGGAAGTCATTTCCACTGTATGGCTGACACAACCATCAGACCCACATGCTGGAGGGGCTGGTGGCCTGAGGAGACCCCTCCTTCCCTCCGGGCAGCCCATCAGCTCTCAGGGCTTCCTCCTGACACACAGGAGGAAGAAGTTGCTGGAGATGCTGGCCGTCCAGCCACCAGTGTCATGTACAGATTGACTGTCTCAGCCGACAAGTGTTCACTAAAACTAACCTACATTCGGCCTGTGTCCCAGAGTTTGGTTCTTGTGCTGGAGTATTAGCAGTGCAACGCTCCTGAGATAAAGGCTTTTCAAATGGAGGGGCCATTAAGTCAGCATGTGTGGGGCTATACACCAATTACCTCGGAAAAACAGGTTTAGACCAAGCCTCCAGCCGGCCCTCGGAAACCTGATTCTGCACCTTTTATTCTACAGGCACCCAAAGGAGCTGCTGCTTTTTGACTCTTGTTCTAAGCAGAAGAACTGTCACATGAGCTCATTCTGGCTCCCAAGTCACAATCAAATGCTTCTGTGACTTTGCGTCCACATCACAGCTGAGCACCTGTGCCCCAATCTCACTGCCCCTCCAAAGTGTAATTTTGCATAAGGGCAACATAGTTTAGGAAAGCAGAGAGGTCTGAGCTGATGGTGTGTTTACTGCTATGTGTGTGTGTGCACCTGTGTGCGTGCACACCTGCACGTGTTTGCACCTTTGTGCAACTGTGTGGGCACCTGTGTGTGTGTGTGTGTACACTGTGCGTGCGCACGTGCAAGTGTATGTGTGCATCCATGCAGATGTGTACGTGCAGGCGTGTGTAGGTGAGCACGGGGCCATCAGAACAAACCTCACAGGCCAGCTGCCTTCCTGAGTCCCCAGCCCCTGCACCAAAGGCCCCATCCCACACCCAGCTGACAACTACCTGCCATGGAAGAGGAGCCTATGATGGTGACCTGGGGCTCGTTGGTGACCAGGCTGGAAGAGATGTGGCCCATGACAGTGTCAACAGTCTCTATCAAGCCGACCACCATAGCATTGTCCTGGAAACAACACAACACAAGGAAACTGAGAAAACAGAACCTGCGCAGTGACCATTCTGAAGCCTACCCTCCAAACACATGCAGCCTGGCCCTGACACCACCAGCACCCTCCAAAGGAAGAATGCCCTGTGTCTGTGGTCGCCTAGGCAGGCCGCCTGTCCCCTCAATGAGCAGATGAGCAGGAGCAGGGGAGAGCCCACAGCACTACCCTTCTCACAGGCAAAGAAGTGGCCAGTGAGGTCACCCACCCAGCTGACCTGGTAGAGAGCAGACATCCCAGTCACCTGGCCGTCAGCCACAAGGCTTCTATGCTTAGACACAGGTCACAGAGACCTGGTGCTAGCTACCCTCTGGATTCACCTCAGCGAAAGCTCTGACCAGCCCCCACCCCGCCCCCTTCCGTTTCAGGAGGAGAGGGCTGATTGCCCCCCAAATGCCCTCCAGAACAAGGACACCAGAAGCTTCATCCTATTCTCCATGCAGGGGAGGGATGCTTTGGAGGTGCCAGCGCCCCAAATCCTCTCTGGCCTCTTCAAACCCCCTGGTGCATCCCTTCCCTCCAAGGGCCATCTTCACTCATTCTGAGTCCCCAACACAGAGAGGATCCCAGGGGTCCCTCCTGGTCATTCCATATCTCAGCAGACAGCTCAGATCCAGCTGATGGGCCCTCATCAGGCACAACACTACAGGGACAGGACCTTTCAGTGCCCTGGGTGTGCGGTGGCTGTGCCTCTCTGCCATCATGCCCTTTGCCTCCTTCCTGCCTTTCTGAAAAGCATCTGTCTGCTAAGGATCCTTAGTGCTCTCTCACAGATGCACACTCCATGAGAATCTAATGAGCTGGGAATAGAACATTGAGGCCAATTTTAGACATTTTCTTTGAGGCCTGTGGCCTGATTTCAATCAGCAGAACATGGTTAAACACATAGAAATCTGTGTCTCTCTGTAGTTCTGTGGGCAGTAGCTGATTGATACCTTCTCTTGAATGCACATTAGAGCCTTCCTAAGTCTGAATAGTTTCATGATTATTCATATTTTGTGGCAGAACATTAAGAAAAAATTACTTTATAATGATGCTGATAAAATAGGTCTGCTCAGGTCCTCCACTGGCCATTTTTTGGGGGTTCCCCATGCTGCAGTTCTGTACACAGAGTCCCTCTAGAAGCCATGGACTCTGGAAGGTTGTGCATTTAAAAAAAAAGAATTTGTTTCTAGGTAATACTAGATCAACTGTAAATTCAAATCCCTTGTTTTCCTCCCTTTGCTAGTGTTAACTCCATCTCATTCCATTTGAAACTGTTTAAATAAAAAGTTCATTATATGTAAACCATACAGCAGTCTCATTAATAACATTTCTGCCTCAAACTGGCAAATATTTTTTAAACCTTATAGGGTTTCAGGAGAATGAGCACTTTAATATTACACTGGTGTGGTTGCAACTCTGCTAAGCAAGGCAGTTGAGAGTCCTCCCCACTGCTTGACTTTGGAAGTCATGTTAAGACCACAGCATCAGAAAATGGACAGAGCCAGGACCCCAAAGTCACTGGACTGAGAGGCTCCTCGGACCCACTCCAGACTTTGCATGAGTGAGAAGTAAGTTTCAACTGTGCTATGCCACTGAGATGCAGGGGTCTATTTGTTACTGCAGCATAGCCTAGCGTAGCCTGACTGATCTCCCTACTGTCAGTGGAAACTGTCCTGCAGAGTCAAAGACAACCAGGTTAAATCAGACATACAGTGTATCTGTAGACTATGTGGGCAGGTAAGTGAAATAAAAGCAGAACGGGAAGGGGTGTGCTCAGGGTCGTGGTCCACCTTAGGACTTCAGGTATCTGTTCTTTTATACAGTTTTTACTATCTACAGTTTCTACCTTCACAACATATTAACTTGTTTTATTCATTAAATAGTAGGATCAATTAAGTTATTTTTAAAAAGAAAAAAATCTATTCTCCTTTCTAATTCTTTGGAGTTCAGGGGGGAAAAGAAGCTGCTTTTTTGGTTTTTACATTTATAAACATGAAATACATATTGTCACATGTTCTACTTTTTTCACTTAATCTAGTGATCTTTAAACATAAAACATGTTTTTTTTATTACTTCTCAAGAACAATGTGATGGTAAAACATATTTTAATAAAATGATAAACAGAGGTCAACCAAGTACACACTCAGGAAGAAATGCAACCATTTCCTTGCTTGGTGTTGAGGAGAATAATGTATCACTGACACATTCTTGAGTCATACAGAAGACATGGTACTTCACATCGGTTGTATCTGGTCAAAATGTGCTCTGATATTTCAGATTACAAAACTAAAAGATGCATCATTTCTCTTCAAGATGTGAATTGGGCCATATTTACGCCAGTTCTAGGAAGTCACAGTGGTTCCCAAAGTGCATACGTTTTGAAGATCAAAATGTTCTTTTTTCTTACCTCTGATACATCAATCCAACTGGGCAGTTGAAGAACCTCTTCCATGGCTTTTAAGAAAGCCTAAAGGCAGACAAAATGACACTTCTTAGCATGCATCCTTAATCCTCAAAATCTCAAGACCTTTGATTACTCCATGTCTATTAAGCAATGGCTGGTTTGGATTTTACATATAGTAATAAACAAAAATAGCTGATATCAGCATATTGGGTTATATTTTACAAGGTCCTTCAGAGCTACTATCTTATTTGTTCCCTGTGACAACCCATTCATCAGTGATAAGCATTCAGCTTAGTCATGGAGAAGCCCTACACACAGTGCCTAGGAGATAGAAGCAGCCCTCAGTAAATGACGGTTGAATGAATAAATGAATGAATGAACGGATGAACAAATCATGGCCCACTGAATATGCTTTCCTTGGGTAGAGAAGCCAAGCTGACATAAAACCACGTGTGTTCATTGGAAATTACCTCTCCATAAAGAAGTTACTTGGGGACCTTTGGTCAAATCACCTTAAAATCATATTTGGTTTGGCTCACCATTTAAAAAAAATGAAATTAGCTTTTGACATTTTCAAATTGGAATATTTAAATGAAAATGTTAATTTCCTGCTTCTTTTGAGAAAAGCAGAAGCTTTGACCACCCCTAACCCACAGTCCCACACGGCCACCATTGGCAAAAGTGAAGCAGCAGCTTAATCAAACGTGTTCCTCAGTGTACCCTAGTCCTCGCCACTCCCTACTGCCTGACACCTAGTCTAGTCCCTCATTTACATCACTCATATCAGCCTTTAACTGTTTGTCTTCTATTGTAGACACAGAATTAAACTTAGAGCCTGAACTAAATCCCCCACATTTCCACCAAACTGTCATTTCCAGAAAAATCACATTCTTCTTCACTTTTAGACACTAAATATTTAGAGAATACATCATCAAAACCCCTCACTCCTTTATTATCTTTGATAAATACTTATTAAGACCCTGAAGGACAAAGCCTTAAGAACTAAGGATGAACAAAATATTGGACTTGAGGTCTAATGGGGAAAACTTATAATCTAGTGCAGGAGTCAGCACTTCCTTAAAGAAAGATCACCTAGTATTTAGGCTTTAAGGCCATACGGTTCTGTCAGAAACACTCAACTCTGTCATGGTAATAAAAATGCAGCCACAGACACATAACTAAATGAGCATGTTCCAATAAAACTTTCTTACAAAAACAGGCAACACAGATTATAACATAAACATTATAAACAACACAGTTTATAATGGCTATAAACTGCTGACTTGTACTTTAGAGCAGCTTGGTGACATAACAATATAATGTGAGGGATCCCTGGGTGGCGCAGCGGTTTGGCGCCTGCCTTTGGCCCAGGGCGCGATCCTGGAGATCCGGGATCGAATCCCACATTGGGCTCCCAGTGCATGGAGCCTGCTTCTCCCTCTGCCTGTGTCTCTGCCTCTCTCTCTCTCTCTGTGACTATCATAAATAAATAAAAAATATATATATATATAATGTGAGCCACATTTCAACTTTTAAACTTCCTAGAGGCCATATTTTATTTAATTTTTTTGAGAGACAGCACAAGTTTGCACAGGAGCTGCGGGGAGCAGGGGGAGGCTGGAGAGGGAGGAGAATCCGGATCTCAGGACCCTGAGATCATGACCTGAGCCAAAACCAGGAGTCAGGGTTTAACCAACTGAGCCATCCAGGTACCCCTCTAATAGCCATACTTCTAAAAGAGGAAAAAAAAAAAGGTGAAACTAATTTTCATTAGTTTTTACAAAGTAATTTTTACGTAGTCCAATATATCTAAAACAGCACTTCAACATGCTAATATAAAAATTATCAATCCAATATTCTACATTCTTTTCTGTGTCCTCAGTGTTAGAAATCTGGTGTGTATTTTTTTAAGCACATCTCAATCTGAATTAACCACAGCTCAAGCCCTCCCCAGCTAGATGTGGCTAATGGCCCCCATATCCACTGGCACGGGAAATGACTTCTCACCATTTTCCTGCCCGATTGCTAGCGCTGAGGAGCCAGGGGACTTCATGGAAAATTAGATATTACTTCTCATGCAATCAGAGACGGGCAGGATTTGGGGCAAATCTGCAGGATTCCTCTGCAGGACACCCAGAGTCAGATCTCTCCACTGAGGTCCACATTAGAAGTCCCAAACCGAGGGCCCAGAGGCTGAATGTGCCTCATAAATCTGCACATAAAATCCAGGTACGGGGCCCCCCTTGTACAAGCAGAAGGGGCAGCCCCGCAGGTCAAACTCCCGGGGCTCCGATGGGCCGCGGTCCCTGCTCCCCGCTCCGGCTTGCGGCCCCTGAGCACATGGACCCCAGACGAGGCCAGGTGGCCCAGGGAGAGGCACGGGGAGAGAGGAGACCTGAGCTTCAAGAGGAAGCTTCCCGTGCTGACCTGCATCCAACAGGCACCCCCTCTCGGCTGCAGAGACGCCCCGGCCTGGGTCCCCCCAACAGGCGCGGACCCTCCGCACCTTCGAACCCAGAGGTGCTCCCGCCCCGCAGCCTCGGCCCCGCCCACACTCCTTGTGATTGGCTGAGCCATCGAGCCCCGCCCACTCCCCCACCCGCCGGCGGTCATGTGACCGAGCTCCGCCCAATGAGCTGTGACGGGAGGTCTGCACACGGACCGTGGGAAGGATTCTCCTTCCCGGTGAGGATGCTGTGGCCTCGGTGGACTCCCTCGCGCACCTGCTGCGGGGCCTGGGGGCGGGTTGTCCCCGCCATTGGGTAACACGGAGCTGTGCTGCGGCCGCAGGCCCCTGCTGTGCGGGAAGACCAGGTACGGGAACCCGCAGTGAAGCAGGCCGGAGACCTGCCTGCATGTAGTCAGGGCTGGTGCAGGTTGTGCACTGGGAGGCCGAGGAGGTGGGGTGGCGGGGAGGCTGAGGGTCGGGGGGGGGGGAGGCCGGGGGGGGGCAGGGAGGTAGGGGGGCGGCGGGGAGGCTGGGGGGGGGGAGGCCGGGGGGGGGCAGGGAGGTAGGGGGGCGGCGGGGAGGCTGAGGGGGGGAGGCCGGGGGGGGGCAGGGAGGTAGGGGGGCGGCGGGGAGGCTGAGGGTCGGGGGGGCGGAGGCCGGGGGGGGGCAGGGAGGTAGGGGGGCGGCGGGGAGGCTGAGGGTCGGGGGGGGGGAGGCCAGGGGGAGCAGGGAGGTAGGGGGGCGGCGGGGGGCGTGGGGAAGCAGGCCCAGCGCCAAGCCTCAGACTCCGCAGGCCGCGTGCACTGCGCACGCCTGCACCCGGGTCGCCCCAGGGGTGGAGGGGGACGCCTGGGAGGTTGGCTCTTGCTTCTCCCCGCGGGGGCGGGAAAGCCAACGATGCCCTCTCTCCGCTTGGGGGGGGGGAGCATCCCGAGCGTCTTTTCACTGCTCCTCGGACCTGCCATCAGCCCGCAAGCCTGGCGGAATGAAGGAGCCTCCCAGAGCGCTCGCCGCGCGCCAGACACTGCTCTCTGCAGGCGCACGAGCGCAGTCTCCTGTCGTCTCCCCATATTGCCGCAGAACAGAGTGACCAAGGACACAGGGCACAGGGCAAGGAACCGCTCGGGGAGATACAGCCCTGCACCCTGCCCCCCCCCCCCCCGGACCCAACGTGGGACACTTTCCAGGGAAAACCCGCCCGGACATGCCTTCCCTCTCCACCTCAGCCAAGAGCCCCGGTGCTGAGATGGAAGTTAAGGCCACAGGAGCCTTACCACCTCTACCCCGACCCAGGAAGTGTTTGGAGCAGAGTGGAAAGCAACCACACCTTGATTCCATGCCATAATTGGCCAGTTCACAAAGTGCTCTACGTAACTTTGGCAATTCCCACCGGCCTCCAAGTCACAACACTGTGGGTCACAGTGTGCGCAGACTGCAGCCTGGGGCCCCACAGCAACATCTACCCAAGACCCAATCCCACCCTTTACCAGGTGCCGAGGTAGCCAGCAGAGTTTAGAACCAGAGATGCACGTCCAGATGGCCTTTGGCCAGGTAGATGCCGAGGTGGGAACATGACATGAAGGGCTAAGGCAGGGCTAAAGAGGCCCCAGCCAGCTGGGTAAGCTGGCTGGAGAGGCCACCCTATCCAGTTATGCATGAAAGTCTAAAATGCAGACTTTTATGTAAAAGCTCCTAACTTTTCTATGACTCTGCAGATTAAACAAAACACGCCTGTGGGCCAGGATCTGGCACTTTGTCATCCCTGATCAGCTAAGCACAGAAATGACTAGCTTTACCTTGGTGAGGTTCAGTGCCATTTCCTGTGACAGAGGCTTATCAGGTAAGTTGTGAGACATGTTTTGCAGATAACTCAGTACAATTCCTGGACTCTGGAAGTTTTTTCTTTTCTCTGTCAAGTTGGTTATGATAGGATGGTAGGCATTGGTGGGCATCTGAAAGAAATGAGAGGCGTGAGTTCCGGCTAGGGACGAAAGCCAAGAAATCCCCTGGAAGTTCAGTGTGTCCTTTTGGTCTCGTGTCTCTTAAAGCCTATGACAATGGCAGTTGCACCTACTGCATATCGGAAGGCACTTTTGTGACACTAACACATACTAACCTTTCATCCTCCGGACAACCTCAAGAAATATGTGACCACTGGAGAGATAAAACCAAGCACAGAAAGGCTTACCCAGAAATAAATGTGGAACTGGGGTTTGAACCCACATAGATGGTGTAAGAGTCTGTGCCCTCACTATTCCCATAGATTTCCCAAGTGAGGTGTAGTGGTGTGATTACAAATAATGGCAGAGTCCATTTCTGTATGGACTCATCTTTCCTCAAACATTGGGAGAAGGGGCAGAAAGAAAACAAGCATCAACACAGGTCCCGCCTGCTCGGAGATACTCTCAGCATTTGTGTCCCTGGACAGTCTGCTTTACTTCCTTTTGACCCCTGAGGCCACAGACCACAAGAGCAGAGGGTTTTCCCTTCAGTCAGCCTGGGCATCCAGAATTCATGCCAAAGTTAGCTTCTCCTCCAGGGATGATTTCTTCCCAGACGCTAGACTGCCTACTGAAATTCAGTCCTGGCATAGAGGCTAAGCAGAAATTCTTCAACAAGGGGAGAGGGGGCCGAAATCAAAGCGCATGCTCACCATGGTGTTGGCTGGTGGTGTCATGAAGAAGCTTTGCGGTGTTGAAGACAACAAAGCATGCTTTCCTGGAAAAAAATCAGTAACGCTTAATTAAGGACTGAAACATGGTCAGTCTTTCACCCTGAGGAAGACCTGTCTTTGTTCAAAATTCTTCAGCTTCAGACACATCCGAGAGAGCCTGAGAATGTTTTGAGTAGGAATGGTGCTGGAAAGATAAAGGGCTAGTAAATTAGCTTCATAGACAAGATTGTATGGATTTTCCCAGGTCACATTACTTTCCTATTTATGTTTCAAATTGCTTTTGAACACCCTTCGTGCAAGTCATCATATAAACGATGATTTTATACAAGCATTTACTGATTTCAAATAAATAGAGAACCAAAAGAAACAGCCTTCAACTACGTCTGGACTAGTTGAAGATGGAATAGAGAGGGCCGTTAATCTCTGGGCTGGGATGAACAATCCGTCCAGTCAAGCCTTCTTCCCAGACAGGTGAAACAAGACAAAGTGGTGGGGAGACTCTCCTCCTGAGCCCCTTCAACCCTGAGGATTCTAGTTCTTTCTACTCCATTTGGTTAATCATAAATAATTACAAATAATGAAGACATCCAGCACCAAAAGCCATCTTTGCTCTGCTCCAACTGTTTTCCACTGATGATTTCTAATTTAGCATTTTCTGGTAAGAAAACAGACTAACTAGATACTCTATCTCATTTGTGGAATATCCCTCAAGGTTGCTTGGGGTGACTTAAGGAAATGACCTCATCACCCCTAGCTAGCTCCAGTAGTAACCGGCCCCCTGGGTTGGGGAGGGGCCAGGTAGCTGGGAGACAGACCCAGAAGGGGAGACACTGCCTGAACAACAAGAGCCCCAAACATTCTGTTCCCCAAGTCAGAGCGATATTCATTCCTCAAGTGCCAAGGAGTGACAGAGGAGTCACACTTAATTCACGTATAACTCACATGAGTCCACAAAATAAAGTGCAGGACAGTGAGGAACAGCCCAGCCATCCTGCCCACCCTCAACTGAGGACCGTGTGAGGCTGAGAGAAGAAGGGAGAATCTTCTGTGTCCTCTGGCAGTCTCAGGTCCCAAAGGACTCTTATTTCGTCAGCCTCTGGTTGTGTGGGTGTGTTTCTAGGGTCCAAAGAGACATACTTGAAAATCACAAGACTAGATGCGGCCTTCTACTTCCTCTGGTCCTTTGTGTGGCAAAGCCTCTGTGTGAATTAGAAAAGGTCACCCTATCTGGCCTGTTCTGCCTAATAAATTAGAAGAGGATGCCCCCTCTGGGCAAGTCACACAGAGAAATGCCTGCTTTGAGCACATTTTTTGTGTGCAGACAGGGCTTTATGCAAAGAACAAGTTCTGCTTCCTGCGGACCAGCCCCAGCAGGGCCCTGGCCTGGGGTAAGAGATGTTGGATCTCAGCACAGATGTCTATCTGCCCGCTGCTGACCTGAACCTGTGGCTCTGACAGACTGACCCACATGAGCAGTCCAGGGGACTCCAGGTCATTTTCTATATATGTGCTTTATGTCATGTGACCTGTCTTCAGAACTGAGTCCCCAAGCACTATGGGGTCTGATGGGTCTAGTTCTGGTTCAACAAAGATGCATGCAAATGCTCCCTGGGACACACAGATGTTAATGCAAATACCTTTCCTAAATACCTCCCCCCCCAAAAAAAAAAACCAGACACCACCTTCAGAAGGCACAGAGGGTGAGGTGACCTGAAACACTATGTCAGGTGTGGGGCTGATGCTCCTCATCCCTGAGCCCTGGGATGTCCTGGGGACAAGGATTTGTTGGGATAGCTGCAAGAACCAGAAACAGCAACACCTCTTTCCAGTGTTAATAAAATGGCAAAGTATCAGGAAGGCAGGATTTTTTTTTGAGGCTTTCAATAATACATGTACAGATGACATCTTGGTCTCAAAATGACAAATTTCTGAATCTTGGGCTATAAAATGCAGGAGATTGACATCCTTTTTTATTGTACAGGACCTATATATTGTCCTTATGTCACTTGTGTGAAAGGAATGAATTCCACTTTCTCAGTGAAAAATGGGTGTCAAAGGCTGCAATGGACAGAGACTTGCTGCAAGCACAGTGACTGTGCCCTGCTTCCAAGACCAGCAGCCACAGTCATCTTTGGGGAGGCTGACCACACTGCCATGTCAGGTGGACTATGATGCAGACTTAAGGAAATCAGCATATTCTCCACCCTCAGCCACAGTACTTGGTTTCTGGGAAACACCAGATCAATCTGATGAAATGAGAGTCATGGCCAGCCCTGCTGCAGGAGATGACAGAAAAAGGAAGCCCTTCGTCTTCGGCAGAGGATGGGATGGAGCCGCCCTGGAGGGAATGGCAGCCATGCTGGCACCACAAGAAGGAAGCAGAGAACACAGAAATTCCTAATGATATGTGAAAAACCTAGAGCAAACGGGTCTTGAAGCAGATTTTCTCTTCTTGTTTCCATTGTGTGAGATTTTTTAATTTTGGCATAAGTCACATTAGTTGTGTTTTCTGTCATGTAACCACAGGCCCCTAACAGCTAAGGGATTTACTGTCAGAAGTTGAGGGGAGGCAAGCCTTTCAGCTCCTGGTCCTGGCATGCCCCTGCTGCTCTGGTGTCCACGCAGTGGCCAGCTGACAAATGTTTATGAGTGACTGTTGTTTTCTGGCAGATTATTTCTTGTTGAAATAAAGATTCAGTACATTCATGTGTTGGCAGAATGAAAATGGAATGAAGGGAAAGTATTAATCTTAAAAACAGTGAAAATGTTGCAAAAGCCTGCCCCATGGCATTCTGCTGATGCCTTACACCTGTCACATGATATCTTCGTAGCCCCCAGCTCTCTGGGACATAGGTACTACTATTTCCATCATTTCAAAAAAAAAAAAAAAAGAGGGAGAGAGTGCTGTGACTTGGAAAGATTAAGACACAAAAAGTCACATATAACATGATTCCAGGTATATGGAAGACCCAAACGACGGAAGTCTGTAGACACAGAAAGTGGATTGGGGTGGCCAAAGGCTGGGAGGGGAACACAAGGAGCAGTAGCTGGTGGGTGCTGGGTTTCTTTCAGGGTTCTGAGACTGTTTTAAACCCAGAGAGGATGGCTGCACAATGTAGTGAACATAGTACCACAGGACTGTATACCTTCAAATGGTTGAATTTATGTTACATGAATTTTACCTCAACAAAAGTAATTTCCCAAGTCCCACAGGTCATCATGGCTGAGTATGAAGATTTGAACCCAGGCTTCCTGTCCCTCAGGCCCTATTTCTGAACAACCACTCTGTACTGAGCAAGAAGGGGACATCCTTGGGGGCCCCTGAGCACCCACCAGAGTCTGGCATACAGAAGGCACCCGATAAACATTTGTTGATCAAATGCATTAATGGGTCTGGAATATCTATCCCCAAAGCTGTCTGTAATCATCCATCATGTACACCTTGAAAACCCATGGTGACCAGCAGGATATTCATCTCAGTGTCTTTCCTCTAGGTTGCCAGTTACTCCATCTTAGGAAACAGGTGTTCTAGAGAAATGACTGTATTTATGAGGTTCATCAGGATTCCTCGCAGCCTGCAGCACAGACGGCCACCTCAGGAGAGTGGAAAGTGAGAAATGCTAGTAAGGGAGGTGGACAGAAGGAGCCTTTCCCTTCCAGAGATGGGCAGAGCTGGCCTGAGCCCTCCCCGCCATGCCCACTGACCAATGGCAGCTGTGAAGTACATCGCGATCTCGTCCGGGGTCAGGACCCGCTCCCAAATGATGAACTCATCAAAAGCTCCATCTTCATAATGCTTGGTCTCATCCTGCTCAGACCCTATCACGAGGTTGACGCTGGGCTCCCCGTAGGCATGAGATACTTTGCCACTTGGGTCAGAGGTGCTCAGGGTCCCATTGACGTAGACTTTCAAACCCTCCTTGGATTTCCATGTAAACAGGACATGAGTCCAGTAGGGACCTAGAGAGAGCAAAGGTCACTGTTCTGCTGATGTGAGAAGAGCTCCCCATGCATGTGTCTCCCAGTTGTTAAGCACATCCCTTTTGAGATGATTAGTCACTTTTAACCTTGGTGGTGAGTCATAATATGGATCACTTTCCTCAGTCTTTTGAAGCACAGGGAAGAAATTCCTGCCCCTAAAATCCCAGAACCAGTCCAAAGAGACCCTTTGCTATTTTAAATTGGATCCTTTGCTATTTAAAATTAAAACTAAATAATAGCTAGTGGTCATGACTTGTTCAAAAAAATTTTTTTGGTCCTGCCTAGGCCATCATAGTGCAGGTCAATAAAATCTATGTGGCAATAAAATTTATCTAAGAGCCTGAGTCAGCCCATAGAATTTGGTATCCACCTCTGCTCCAACATAGTACATGTGATATTAACCAACACGGTGGTACCATGGTAGGCAGGGCCACCCTCCTGGCTCATTCTCTCTGGCATGAGAACCACGGTCACCAATAAGAGGAATGTTTGTCAGACTTTGACAGAAGCTTGCCCCACAAAGGGCCTCACTTCATTTTGCAAGTGTTGTGTTAAGACATCTCATGGGCTTGCTTTTGAAAGGAACAAGGCAGCTCTCTAAAGGCATGTATCACTTCAAGCCAGGCATCATCTTAAATCACCCAGCAATTGAAACAACCAACCACCCTTTATTTCTAGAGATGGCAACTCCAAGGAGATTTTTCTCCAACCTAAGTCATCAGAATTATACTTTTGGTAAATTGTCCCCAAATCTGCCCTTATAATAATTACAGAAATCTGAGTAGACTCAGGTGCAATTAGCTATTGGGACTGCATCAAAATAAAAGCTTCTGCACAGTGAAGGAAACAAAACCAAAGGGAAGCCTACAGAATGGAAGAAGATATTTCCAAATGACATATCTGATAAAGAGTTAGTATCCAAAATGTATAAAGAACTGATACAACTCAACACCCAAAACAAATAATCCAATTTTTAAAATGGGCAGAAGATATGAATAGACATTTCTCCATAGAGGAAGACATCCACATGGCCAAAAGACATAAAAAGATGCTCAACATCACTCATTATCAGGGAAATGCAATTCAAAACACAATGAGATATCACTTCACAGAATGTGTCAGAATGGCTAAAATCAAAAACACAAGAAACAACAGGTGTTGGCAAAGATGTGGAGAAAAAAAACCCTTGTGCACTGTTGGTGGCAATGCAAACTGGTGAGGCACTGTAGAGGACAGTATAGAGGTTCCTCAAAAAGTTAAAAATAGAGCTACCCTATAATCTAGCAATTGCACTAGGAGGTATTTGCCCAAAGAATACAAAGATACAAATTCAAAGAGTGAAACATGCATCCCTATGTTTATAGCAGCATTATCTACAATAGCCAAATTATGGAAGTGGCCCAAGTGTCCATGGACTAATGAATGGATAAAGATGGCGGATATATATAATGAAGTATTACTCAGCCATAAAAAGGAATGAAATCTTACCATTGGCAATGACATGGATGGACCTACAGAGTATAATGCTAAATAAGTCAAGACAAATACCATATGATCTCACTCATGTAGAATTTAAGAAGCAAAACAAAAGGAGACAAACCAAGAAACAGATTCTTAACTATAGAGAACAAACTGGAAGTCAGAGAGAGGAAGGGGTTGGGGGCTGAGTGAAATAGGTGATGGGGATTAAAGAGTACTCTTATCATGATGAAAAATAAAATAATTTTTTAAGAAGACCAACTTCTGTAAGTCAATCAATCACCCAGCAATTGCTCAGGATTGTGCAGCTCTCTAATTCTGAGTCCCTGGAGAGCGCTTGGGTCCTAAATGGGTCTAAAGTTTTATTGCCTTTGAGTTCAAAGCAAAAATAACAAATTTCTTCAATGAACAAACAATGTATTTGCCAGGCAGAAATGTTTACGATTCTTAAATCACCCAGCAGTGATTTAAGATTTTCTTCTTCCGGGAAGAAAAACAGAGTTCAGTAGACTTTACCTTAAAATATGTTGAATAAACCTACTAGGTTTCTACTAGTAGAAACCTACTAGATGCCCCCATTCAGCATTAGCCCCAACAGCAGAGATAAGACTCTTACAGAAGAACCAGACCTTGGGTAGAACATGATAAGCACCATGAACAAGATACAGGTAGTTCTGTATAGGGCAGGGGAGGCAGATTCCCCGTGGCCTGGGGTCAGAGAAAGCAAGTAGGCAAGATTGTCCCAGACCTGTTACGGAGGCAAGGTGGAGGTTCAAGCTTGGGGTGAGTGAGTAAGGCTCCTGGCTCACAGGTAGCACGGTACAGAGAGGGGTCTGACCCAGCCTGTTTGGCTCCAGAGTCATCCATGTCTTTTAACAACTGAGACACACAGCCTCTTGAAATGGCCCAGAAAATGAATTGTCCTTAATATCTCAGGTACCATTTCCTACTGGAGGCCTTCCTTCTATCCCCCTCCCCCTCCACGCATCCCTCCTAGCCTTCAGCCCAGACTGGACTCACCCTCAATGTCACCCCAATACTTCTCTTCCTTACCCAGTTTCCACTTGAGACCGTATGCTCCTCCAGCTTCCTGCCCCAAGCCTCTGACCCCTGCCCTGTGGCAGGACCTGATCTCATGCCACAGAGAAAGCAGGAATCTCCAGACAGAGCCACATGGCCCTGCAACACCCACCTGCAAACTCCCCACTGTCTACACAGCCCCATGATGTTCCCCATTCATCTCAGAGCATCACCACCCTCACCCCCACTTCCTTGCCTAGTCTTCAGCCTCTGTTCCAAAAGATTTTCACATCCTAAATATTGCCATATCTATACCATTTTAAAGGGGAGGAGGAGGAGGAACAGGAGAAGAAGAAAGGCAGCAGGGGGAGAGGAGGGAGGGGAGACGGCCGGAGGGGAGGGAGCCAGGGAGCCGGGAGAGGAGGGAGAGGTAGAAACAGTATCCTGCACAAACTGGTCAAGTCCCATCAGCACTTCCCCTCTAGGACAGGGCAGCTGAGGCCGACGCACAGCTGGGGTGGGAGGGAGTGCGGGCACCTGGCTGCCGGCTGCTGGGCCTCTCCAGCAGGTGTCCGCAGGCAGGCCCTTACCTGGCGGGCTGAAGGTGGCTTCCCACGTCATGGAGTTCTCCCGTGTATACAGCTCCACAGAGCCCTTGCCACCACTGGAGCAGACTTTGAAGCCATCAGAAACTACCTGTCCCCTGTAAGCAGAAGGGGTGGGCCTGGACTGCTCTCCTTGTGTCTTCCAGAAGAAAGAAAACGTGACTCCTGAAGGAAGGGAAGGCACAGGGTCAGGACTGACAGACCACAGAGGGGAACCCGCCCTCAGAAGCAGGTCCTTGTGTCGGCTCCTAACATCCATTTGAGAAGCCATCTTTTTCTCACTATAGAGATGATGCATGTTCCAATCAGGCAATATTTATCAAAGCTCAGTAAGTACTGGACACTTTCCCAGGAGTTCTGAGTGAATCATCTCCTTCAGTGTCGTAAACCCTGGTTAACATCCCCATTGTGCAAATGCAGGCACTGGGGCCAGCTTGCCCAAGGTCAGCAAGCCAGCATCGAAGCAGGGTCCAAGAGGAGGCCTTGTGGCCCCAGAGCCCACAGATCTCAACAACCTACACCCTTCTGTCCTTACCCCTCCTTTCTATCCAGAAGCATCCATATGGTCTGTCCCTCTAAAACCTTTCCTGCCAGTACATCTTACAAAGAAAGGGACCAGCTCAAGCATACTGGCTTATAAGCCACATCTTTAAAAAACTTCCTGCATCATGAGCTTCCTCCAATGTCCATAAATAGACTTTTCACACTGTCGTGCTGTGTGTCTACACAGTGTTATATTCTAAATCAGGGTCACGCAGCTTCCTTCAACTCTTCATTCTCCAGACAGAACTGGAAGCTAAAACCTTCTGGCATATGTTTGGACTCTGTGCCTTTAGGATGTGTTCCTAGTGGGGAATTCCCAGTCCAAAGGGAAGCCCGCTTTTAAAGGTTTTGGCATTTACAAATAGTTCCAACAGAGGAACAGGGGGAGTCCGCGGAGGCCCTTTGAAGACACCCTGCATCCTACCACGTGAACTAAGTGCTCTTCACTCAGATGTGACTATGAACAAGCTGGCTCCATGGTCACTGCATCTTACCTGAGAGTCCAGTTCTTGGTGGTGGAGACCCTGTTCCACAGTCACCCTGCAGGCCTGGAGGCCGGGCTCCTGGGTGAGGGACATATGGGCGGAGCTGGCCAGAGGCTCAGCTGCATTTCAGGTTGCCTGCCACTGTTTAGAGTTCTGAATCTGAGCCTCTGTCCTGCTTGTCTGACCCCAGTGACATTAACCCTTTCCTTGCATGAGTAACTCTGTGTGTAGATGTGTGTGCCTGTGTGCCAGAGAGCACACACACATGCGAGTGCTGAGCCAGCAACCTGTGTGGACTTCGGGTGGGACCCAGAAATACTCCCAGCTGCCCTGACCCTCCCAGTCTGGCCCTGGGCAGGAGAGAGGAAAGAGCCTGAGACTCCTGACTCATTGGGGGTGGGGGTGGCTTTCATATACAAATGGCACCTAACTTCGACTTTGGGCCTTGTCTTCAGATGAGATTACAGACACAGCCTGAGAGGGTCATTAAATTAGCAGACATTGGCCATCAAATATAAACGTGTGTCCTGTCCAACCACCTTTCCTGTAACGCCTTATGGGCTGACACATACATTATAAGCTGTTCAAATGTCTTGTGATCATCAGATTGCATTATACTTTGGTGGGCTTGGAGGTCTAATCTGCTAATGAGAAGCATGTAGAACAGAATAATTTTATAGCCTGGTTTGGAATTTCTCCATTTTTTTTTTAATATAAGAGGAATCTCATAATAAGGGCAGGGGCCTGGCCCTTTCCTTACCTCTGAGAAGCTGGAATAGAACTCCAAGTCATAGGGGTGAGTACTTAGGGCCACTGAGGAAAGCAGACAGCCCCCCGAGTGCCCTGAAGGACAGAACCCTGGGTGGAAGACTGCTCAGAGGCAGTGGGCCGGTCCCAGGACCCTTCCCGGAGCCTGCTCCCTGCGCGCCCTTGAACCAGAGCGCAGCACAAACCACGGCCCTCCTGCCATGCTTCCCTGCTCTCAGAAACAACCCATTTCACCAGGAATCAAACACATGCATTGTGAAATTTTTGTTATGAAATGAATTCCCAGAGGATTCACAGAAGTTAATTTTTTCCACTTTGCTGCATTTAGAAATTCCTTTTATTCAATCCCATCTTGGCCAAATGTCTGTCCAGGAAGAGAAACAAAAATAAGGCAGTCGGTTTGGCATTAGGTAAGGATAAGGCGAGCATTTCATTTCCATCCATGTAACCTGCATGAGAATCGCTCCCATCTGAGAAATATCCTTATCTTCTAATGTCAGTTCACATCTCCCCAGAGTCTTAGGCAGCCCTAACACCGGCGTCCCCGGGAGCGTGGCTCCAGGCACGCAGGTCATCAACCCAAGGAAGAAACAAGTTGAAGGGGTAAGAAGGAAGTGTGATCACTGATAAGTGATACCACACTTCTTTCTCCATATGAGCATTAAATCTGAATCTACCCAAAGAGAAAATGAGGATGCTGTCTTTCTCAGCAAGATCCAGAAAAAAGAAAGTATCATCCAGATGCCACAAGAAGAGACGGATACATTCAAGCACAGAAATACAAAATTCTGCAAGGCAAATAACTTACCATAACAAAGCCAAAGTACAAATGGTGATCCAGGAAGAAAAAAATACATGTGATACGTTTAACAGTTACATTTCCTTACTATGTGAAGACACTTCACAGAGAAAAATGTGATCACTAGCATTTAATGGGAATTTCCTAGGAGCAAGGAAGATGGTTCTAAGACGAGTCCATGTATTAATTCTTAATCCTTCCAACAACCCTGTGAAGTAGATGTGCTCAGTGTCCCCATTTTACAGGCGGGAAAACAGGTAACACGGGCAAGGCCACACAGCTGGTAACAGGCAGGATTTGGACTTGTCAGGGTGACTCTGGACTCTGCACCTGTGATCACTGTGCTGTTCTACACTCCCCTCCCACAGAGAGGACATTGTGTTTTCAAGAGCACCATCACTCAATTGCTGAACTAGACAAAAAAAAAAAAAAAAACACTCAGGAATTACGGGAAGAAGAAAAATGCACAACAAAGACCCAGGCCAAGTAAGGAAGTCTTGGTGAACACCTCCTCTGTGTGTCTGTGGTGGGTGCGGGTGAGGGAGGAGTCCTTCCAGGTAGAGGAGCAGCCCTTCCCATGCCTTGTGGCCAGCATGGCATCTGTGTACCCTTCCCCAGGAACAGCACCTCTGTGCTCCAGGGAGAGCCATCCTGCCCACCCCTGTTTCCTCCAGTTGGGTGGGGCCAACCACACACACCCCAGGCCGACACTGGCGGCACCCATCAGGGTCACACGCTGGGCCTGGATGGAACCTCTGGGCCTACAGTGCTCTCCCATCTGGAGAGCCCTGCTGACAAAGGTCAGAGCAAGGAGAGATGCATACTTCTGATGAGAGTATTTGAGCATCTGCGCCCAACTTGATGCACACAGCCACGATGCCCCCCATCCCACCTGCTGTCGGGCCCCATGACCCCACCACTCTCCAGCAGAGCCAAGTTCCCCACTGCCTTGTGCCCAACTTGACCCAGAGGGGACACAGAAGTGACACTGGCCCAGCCCCAGCTATGGTGACCGTCCAGCAGCTTCAGCTCTCTGCCTCTTGGAGCTCTGAGCCGACACGGGAGAAGTCCAGGCCACACCGCTAAGGAAAGACACCACACATGCGAGTGCCAGAGTGAGAGGGAGGGAGCGATCCTAGGAATCCACCCCAGGTGAGCCTTCAGGTGACCCCAGGCCTGGCCACTGTCTGACTGCAGCCGTTGGAGGCCCCCAATGGGAAGGGCCCGCTGAGTCCCGCCAGTCCGTGAAACTGGGAAAAGTGACACCAGCGGTCTTTTGTATTGCAGGGCAATGGCTAACCAAACACAGTCTCACCTGAAGCCATCCCTTCCATGAGCCAAAAAACTCCCCCTTTTGTTTAAGCCTGATTGAGTTGAGTTTCTATTGCTTACCATGACTCTTAACTGACATTTCTGTTCCTGACCCCACTGTCCCCCCAGAGGCCAGCACAAGGAGTGCACATGGCTCCCTCCTTCCTTCCTCAGCAGCACTTTGGGTAGAGGGTTTGGGGAGGATATACCAGAGTGGCTGCTCCAGACCCTCCATCCTCGCCTGCTTACAAAGGTACTTGGGTCCCGCCAGAGGCGGTCGTGGCCCACATGAGACCATGACAGAGGGGAACAGCCTGTCCATACCATCAGCCCTGGCAGCTACCTGGAAGCAAATCAGCACAAACAGCTACCCTGAGCCCAAAGGGCAGGCTCAAGAATGCTCTAGAGTGGGAAACTGAGGACATCCATGTCCAGTGCCACCCACTGTCACCACAGTGCCAAGTTCTGGTCTGAGAGAAGCCCCATCTCGGTGCTGCAGCAGAAGACACTACCTGGCGGCCTCCAGAGCTTCTCACCTCCTGGAAGCTGGACCGCGGTGAGGGTCCTCTTCCATGGCCCTTCCTGGTATGCTCGCAGAAGGCATTAGTCCCACCTCCCCCAGTCCTGCCACTTGCAAAGGCCCACTTCCATCACCTTCCTGTTAGGGACAAGGCTTCAACCTATGAATACAGAGGAGACACATTCAGTCCATGGCAATACTCTCAGTGCTTCCTTGCACGGATATTTATTTGGTGGCTGATGACATCAGACACGGGGAGCAAGGATCTGCCTACAGAAGGCTAGACAGACCCACAAGGTCCCGGGTTGCTGGCACTAACTGCCGTGCAGGGCAGGGACAGACAGACAGACAGACATGGAGTCTGTTCAGTGACACCTGGATCCAGTGGCCTGAAGACTAAGAGTGGCTTCCCCGAACGGGTGGCTTTGGAATTGAGATCTGAAGGAATGGGCATTCTCCCACAAGGAAGGGACCAAAATGCGTGGAAGGAACCCGACTCACATAGGTTTTCTGGCCACATGTGGTGGGGGAGGGGAAAGAGAAGCAGAGAATTAGGTGCCAGGCGCAAGCACCAGGAGGGAATTGGGTCTGGTACCTGTGCCGAGGTTCAGAGGGAGACAGGAGGCTGCATGCCTGCCCGGGTCTCCCAGGGCTGCTACGGCAAATCCCACCCAAGTGTACATCCTTGTAACAACACTCATTGCTCTGGAGGCAAGATGTCTTATGGGGCTAAACTTGT